GGGTGCAAACCGGGGAGGGTGTTCGTGTGTTTGGATACGGACTGGTTAGATCTACCGGCAACAACAGAGGGCACGCAGATGGGCATATGTACACCTTGAAATGGTTGCATGTGCGGGGACCCCTCGAACTTCAAAGAGGCCTTCACTTCTCCCTACTCCCCTTGCGTGTCTAATACAAGAGATAAAACGTCTTCCCCTTCCAAGGAAAGGACATATACGAACAGCCGTCTCCAGAAGATAATTAAGAATCTTCTGCGCCGCCTTCCAGTGGCTTCTCTTTGGCTCGTGAGAGTGCCTTGCCACCGCCCGCACAGCATTCGAGATGTCGGGCCTTGTCTGGTTGGGGATCCACATCAGGCTCCCCACCACCTCTCGGAACGGCACATCTCCTGCCCCCTTATCCTCCATCACGGACCTGTAATCGTTAGCAGGGGAAGCAGGGATCGAGCTGGTGCGACAAACATTGAATTTCTCAAGAACACTTCTGATGTAACTCGCTTGAGACATCTCAATCGTACCAGCCTCGCGGTCGCGAACGAATGCGCAACCAAGAAAGAACCTGACCTCGCCCAAATTCTTCGTGGGGAGAGAGTCACCTAGCGCTTCCACAACCATCTTGGCAGCCTCTTGATTCCTGCATACAGAATGTCATCCACGTGAATCGCAATCATACCCAACACCTCGTCTCCCATCATGAAACGAAGAACACAGGGGTCTGACAGAGACGATTCGAAACCAATCTTCTTCAGGTCCGACACAAGTCTCTTGTGAAATGTTCTAGATACCTGTCTCAGTCCATACAAACTTTTGTCTAAACGGACTACCTTTCCTGTCATCGACTCGCAGCCAGGAGGCAACTTCATGGACACCTCGTGATCCAATTCCGACGGACCAAACGCTTGCTCAATGTCAAAGTGGAGATATTCCAAATCATACTTGCACGCCAATGCTACCAACAAACGAGTCGATGCAGCATTTGCAGTAGGCGAGAAAGTCTTAAGATAATCTACACCATGCTTCTGCTTGAAGCCCTTCGCTACAAGCCTAGCCTTGGCCTTCACTAGCTTGCCTGTTTCATGTGCTTTCCATTTGTAGACCCATCTAGCATCTACCACGTTACAGCCTATTGGAACCTTTACTGCTAACGCGAACGTTCCTGCTCTTAACAAGCCTTCAAATTCTGCCGACATGGTCTTGTCCCAAATCGAGGAGTATTTTGACTGACGGGCTTCTTTATAGCTACCCGGTTCTGTCTCTACGTCCTGAATGAGCACTTTCGGCAATTCCATTGCATCAGATGCTCTCTGTTCCACTAAGAGTGCCTCTATTATTTCTGATGCGGGGATTGGTCCTAGAGTGGCCATGAGACCGGTTTCGCTCTGCTGATTTACTGCCCGAGTTTGCGCACGGATTCTGCCTTCTCTGACTTCAACATTCTCATTCGCAGCAGTGTTGTAACTAGCAAGCTCATGCCGCGCACGACGTTTAGATGGTGCGTGCGTAGCAGGAAAAATGACTCCGATTCTACCTCCTGCCCTCCCGGCTTAACCAACTCTTCATCCAACCCTTCCTGACTCTCCGACTCTACCTCCTGCCCTCCCGGACCCGCCGATTCTGCCTCCCCTGTCTCCGGCCCTCCCTGTCCTTCCTCATCGGTGAACTCGTCTGCTGGAGAAGACACAGGGGGGGCTGCGCTGCTGGGGGTAAAAATCGCGGGCGAAGATGGCACAGAGGGGGGTTGACCTACACTGCCTGCATCAACACTGCCAACCTCATCGATTGCTCCACCAGAGACCGTTACATTCCGTCGCAAAAGGATGTGGGGAACTCCTCTCCCTAAAAGCGGCCATACCTCAGCTTCTACATCGTCGTCACGTTCCTCCCCTCCCTCCTCTGCGACCTCAATCGGCAAGAGAGACGGTTGCGGTGGAGGGAGTTGTGACGGCAACGCTTCCCACGTCACATTCCTCGTTTCCTGAATAGTTCCAACCCTCGTAAGTACTCTATCACAGTCACGCGGGTGGTTTCTCGAAGGACCGACATAAAAGCAAGCCTCACCCTTCGGCAGCAGCTTAGACGGCCGCTGCCACCTACAGTAAGCCGGTTCCAAAAACGGATACGGTCTAGCAGGACTAGCTTCACCATGCCACATCTCATACGGCGACTTCCTATCGGGGTTGGCGGAACAAGCTATGTGGTTAATTGCTTCGCAAGCCCAGTGGATCGCCTCAGCCCATAGTCTATCAGCCTTCGGTAATTACACATGCCCAAACAAAACTTTTTCCTGAATACGGGCAGCCATTGCCGCCACCTCAATCAATCCCAAACCACGCTCTGCAACACAGTTGTATTGGGGACTGTAAGTCGGGGTGAACGCTTGCTTTATCAAGAACTCGTTGCACACGGATGCAAACTCTCCTCCGAAAAACTCCCCCCCATGGTCAGATCTTACAATCTCAACCAATCATGGGATACCATCAGCACGCACACTTGCGAGGAAACTCCGGAAAGCGCTCGCAGCGTCTGATTTACTTTTCAGGAAATACATCCATGTACGTCTTGTGAAAGCATCCTTCACTATCATGGGGTAATGTTTACCCCCTACGGACGCAACGTCCTTCCGCCCTCCCAGGTCAACAAAAACTCTGCCCAACTTTTTGTCCGATCTGCATGTTGTTTCATGAGCAACCCCTTTCTTGAATGCCTTCGAAATCGAACATCCCGTACAAGCATGCACTTTACCGGTCAACTCCATACATACCTAGTCGTTTTGCTGTTGTACGAAGTAATCCCTCCTGTGAATGAGCATAAATGTTATGAAACTCGTTCACATCCATCACGCAACGTCCTTCCGCCCTCCCAGGTCAACAAAAACTACTCTGCCCAACTTTTTATCCGATCTACATTTTGTTTCATGAGCAACCCCTTTCTTGAATGCCTTCGACATCGAACATCCCGTACAAGCATGGACTTTACCGGTCAACTCCATACCTAGTCGTTCTGCTGTTGTACGAAGTAATCCCTCATGTGAACGGGCATAAATGTTATGAAACTTGTTCACATCCATCTTCGATTCATGCTTGGGGTTTGAAGGAGTGAGGGCAGCCTACACCGAACCAACTGAGTTATTCTCTAGACGATACGCGGTCGAAATGAGCATGCCATCGAAATTCTCAAAAGTAACATGTCCATCGAAAGCAGTCATCACACCATCAGGACCCCCAAGGTAATTCCATGGCTCACCATCGAACTCTGCGCTTGGAGAAAAGAGGTTGTATCCCAAGTTGGGAAAGTACAGTACATTCTCCAACCCTACGGAAAACTCGCTGTCAGCATTCACAAACACCAATTCTAGGGTTCCAGAGAATTCTACCTCGCAAGTCACGCCACCAATCCCGTTTACGTTTTTGTGGTAAGGCTTCAAATTCTTCATGCAAGAAAGACGGTCAGTCATGTGAAAAGCAGTCCGTCCTCATGTGACCTTTCTCCCCACACTTGAAACACGTTCCCTNAAGTACAGTACATTCTCCAACCCTACGGAAAACTCGCTGTCAGCATTCACAAACACCAATTCTAGGGTTCCAGAGAATTCTACCTCGCAAGTCACGCCACCAATCCCGTTTACGTTTTTGTGGTAAGGCTTCAAATTCTTCATGCAAGAAAGACGGTCAGTCATGTGAAAAGCAGTCCGTCCTCATGTGACCTTTCTCCCCACACTTGAAACACGTTCCCTGTAACTTCTTCTTGGAGGAATCAGATTCAGGGCGAGACTTCGACTTTGCGTGATTCGGCTTCCGACTACTCTTCCTCTGTGCTCTAGACACAAGAGCTACGCTGTCTTGTTTGTCGGCCGTACTCCGCGTACTTATCGGGACTTGTTTGTGTAGTGTATTCAGACGGTGAGACAAAAGGAGGAGGAGGAGAGAGAGAGAGAGAGAGANGTCCGTAGACCCACGAACACCCTCCCTGGTTCTTCACGCGAGTGACTAACCATCAGTGGGGCAAAAACACTCCGGATACATCAATAAAAAACCATAGTGGTGGAGGGGAAACCCGGCCCCCGGGCAAAACCCCTCCAGAAAACCGTATCCAACACAAAAACCATTGCTATCACGGCGGATGTACAACGGCCGCACTTATCAGAAAG